GTAATCAGTTAATAATTTGATTGTTTTAATCATTAACTTAATTGGTTTTTAATACATTTTCTACCAAACAAACTAATTCATTTGATTAATAAATTAATAAAAATTTGATTTTATTTTTATTAAATATTTAATTTATACAATTAATGAATTAATCAATTTTAAATTTTGTCTCAATTATTGATATTAATTGTTCTGATTAATTCGTTATTTGGAAAAAAAAGTATTTTTTAATTTTTTTACAAATTTGATAATTGATATCATCATTTTGGTGATAGGTGCAAAACTTGGTTGATACAATTATTTTGATAATTGAAACATATTTTTAGCTTTTTCTGTGTGGCAACAGATATAATATGTTTTCTTATTTTAATTTATATTTATTTCATTATAACAACCCTGTTTTTGCGATCTTCTCGAAATAATGTCTAACAGAATTATTGAAGATCTCGCCGATTTCTGGGGTTCTCTAAAAACTAACAACTCCGCTACCTATAAGGATCCAGAATGTATATACTTTATGGGGTCGGAAAATTATGTTATAGAAATTACAAATAGATATTTCTTTTCTTTAATATTTTGAAAATTAAGTGATGACGAATTTTTATTTACAAGACTTGAAAGAATACGTCCATAAAATTTAGTGGTCGAGAGTAGTTCCATGTTGAAGAAATAAACACTCAAAGTTAAAATTTCTCAAAAATGTGATTGAAACCAAGTAGTTTTTTTACCACTTTTTGATATTATGAGGGCGGTTTACAGCTTAGAAAGTCAATTTTGCTAATGTAAGCTGTATACACTTGTTGAATGACTATAGTTCATATTTAATTGTTATGCCATTTATAAGTAAAGAATTACGTGGTCGCAATGTTTTGAAACCAAATTTATACAATTTTACAAAATTTGGAGTTTTTTGGATAGAATATTTGCGGCTCTTCGGTTATGCAAAATGTAGAAATGAGAAAAAGTAGACATTGTAATTACGCGTCGTTTGATGTATATCTCCAAAATGTGCTCTAGAAGGTATCACTGCGGGAGAAGCTTAAATATTGGAAAAACAAACGTGAAACTTTCGAAAAAAGGGCTTTTTCGCGAAGCACACTAACAGCGTAACTTCAATATACCCAAAATATCGCGTGTTTGAAATACTTTTAAATTTTACATGTTGAAATCATAAAAAATTTTTAATTTTTTACTTTAGCGAATTTCCGCATTATAAACAAATTTTAAATTCTGAATTTTATCAGTAATCAATCTTTATATGGAAAGAATTGGTTTTTGCATTAAAAAAGTATAAAAAAGTTCATTCATGTAAATATATAATTTCATTTTAACGGTTTTTGGATTAATAATTCATTTAAATTAAAAAAAGCAGTTAATTGTAGATAAGAAGGGATATGCTAATTACAATAGAAATTTCATCAAAATTTCTCTTTAGCCGAAAACTCGGTGTTTCTTGAGTTAGAAGATAATTCGACGAAGCACACCTAAACCGCTAATTAAAATTGGTAACACCTAACATTAATCGGTAGCTGACAATGATGCTTATACCAAAATCGATAAGCCGTTAGAAAAAAGTACGATTTTGTATTAAATGCATTGAAAAAAGTTCGGTCATGTGTATGAAATTTATTTCCAAACTTTATAAAGATTTTCATTTTAACAGTTTTTATATTATTTACTCATTTAGATTTAGAAATGGAAGCAGAAGATAATTATAAACAAGCAGTTATTGGCTAACCACAAAAATATTTCCATCAAAGTTTCTCGTGTGCAGGAAACGCAGTGTTTTACTTTTAAGAAAAACTTGTGAAGCACACTCTTCCCGCTAATTAAAATTTATAAAATTATATTCTTTTAGGTTGCTATTAATGAGGTCTATATCCACGAATATTTAAAATATATGGGTTAAATTAATTTGTATTTTGGGTCCTTCGTTGTGGGTTATATCCACACTTATATTTTTGAGTTTCAGGTAAAAACTTAATTTTGGGAACTTTTTAAACTGTTAACTTTAAACTGCTATAACTTTGGCGGCTTTTGCTAAAAATTATTCACAAGAAGATAATTGTACTTCTAAGATGTTAGACAATATCCACACAAAATTTGATGTGATATTAAAAAAATTTCATAATTTTTTGAACTCCAAAATTAAATTAAAAGAAAATTTCCCATATATACCCGTATAAAAACAACACAGTATTGAAATTATTTTTTTTCAGGTTATTTTCAGTGTTGGCAAAAATGTTTTTTAAATGAAAATATGTACACAAAAAGCTAATTTTTAAGCGAATGATGTCTCAAATATTCGAAATTAAATTCAATTATTCAAATTAAAGCTCGAACATAGATTCTCTGTTCGAAAAATTTAAAAATCTGTTAAAACCAGTTCCCGCAGACCGAAATGGCTGAAATTTGACAGTGATGAGTACCTCTGATGACAATACAATAATTATTATGTTCGAATATTCGTAATTAAGTTCGAAAGTTCGAAGTATTGGTCGAAAATTGTTTTATGTTTTTAAAATAATCTCTGGGCGATAAAAATAAAAAAAAAACATTTTTCGAAATTTCGAACTTATGTTCAAAAAAATTTTAAAGCTGTTAAAAACAGTTCCCGTACACCGAAATTGCTGAAACTTGATAGTAATAAATCTACCTGATTACAATACGACATTATGTTCGAATATAAGTTCAAAAATTCGAAATATTGTTCGAAATTTTGTTATGCTTTAAAAATAATATGTGGGCCATAAAAATTATTTTTTTAATTTCGAAAAAAATATCTGATTGTTAAAAATAATTCATATAAACGGATGTTCACAGCACGCAGATAATTTACTGGTAGCTACTGTGACTACTTACTTGCAATGTCGTTCTTTGGAATTTTTACCTTCTAAAATTCAATTAATTTTTATTGAACCAAATACGTATTACAACATAGTATGCATACAATTAGAAATTTTTTCATATAGAGTTTACTATATACAATTAGAAATTTTTTCTTATAGAGTTTACTATATTACCTCGCTCTGATGTCACCAATTTTATTTTGTTCAGTAATATTTATGTACATATATACTTAGTATCAGACCCATTAAACACGTTGTTATTGTAAAAAATTTGGTTTTAACCAAAATAATCGAAAAAAAATATTAATATGTATTGTTTTGCTTAATAAGTGAAAACCGTGATCACAGTCACTGTTTTAAAGAACAGTGATTTACAAATCACGTTCACTTAGAACGACGTTCTTTAGAAATCACTGGATCGCTCATCTCTAGTTCAGAGTATCTCATAACTGAAATTCCCTTTCGACAGTGTGTAGACGAGTCTGATATTAATCGTTTAATACTTCAGAAAATGTGCAGAAAAGTCTAACAAAAAGTTTGCCGATTACTCTGTAAAAAGTCTAAAGGAAATTTAGAAATTCGTTAAAAATTCTGGTCAAGTATAAGAATTATTTTAGAAAATTTCTGACATAAGACATGCCTGAACAAATTGTTTACCGGGAAGGCACTTCGGTGCCGGGCACTGTGTAGAAGAACTAGGCTTGCCAGACGTACTGTAGACGCATACTTTTTTTAGTAATTGTACTTTTAACTGCATAACCCCTAAGTACGCAAATGTACTTATTTTTAGTATTTGTACTTTTTTTTTTGTCCTTTTTTTTGGAATTTTATCATAATTTTATAGGTGTAATCATGATCATTATGCTTAAAAGTTATTAAATTTTGATTAAGATATCACTGTAGTGAAAGTTTTTATGAATTTTCGGCATAAAAAAAGACTGCAAATGTGAAGGACATGTTTGAATGTTTAAATGGACATGTTTGATTGTTTAATGCTCCGTCATTTAGGTACCTATTCGATAGCTCCAGTCCAGCTGTGGAACGATTTTTAAAAAACTATACTGCCATTCAATGACAAATTTGAATAACAGAGTAAAAGTTGTAACATTTTTGTAACAGTTAGAGATAGAGAATTTTTTTATTTTACTGGATATTTTTTCACCATAAAAGATATCAAACATATATTCACAACAAATGAAACCGTGGGTAGAACCACAAAGATCCTTTGGGGCGACCCTAAAGAGAGCAGGACGAGAATAATCCTCAAAATGAACACATCTGAGGTTAGTTTGATGGTACGTATTCTGAGTGAACATATAGGATTATGGGCACACCTATACAGAATTGGACGCGTAGATTCAGACGAATGTAGAGCATGTAGAGAGAACAGTAAAACTCTGGTCCACTTTCTTTGCCATTGTCAGGCTTTCGCCGAAATTAGATCCAAATATCTTGGTAGTGAGATTATTCCAGAATCGCGTCTGGGAAACTGAGTTTCTGAACATCGGACGATAATACATTTAGTGAATACTATATAAGGTTTTGTTTTTACCAACAAACATTTTCCGTGAAAAAGAGCACACAACAGGCCCTATAGTGACCTAACGTAATTATATAGTTTTATATATCTAGACCCCATTGTAACTTCGAAAATAGGTATTATAGATCCTTTAGATAATTTAGAGGCATCAATTCCATAAAAAAGAGTCTCAAATAATTTTGTCCACATAGATTTTAATTTGAAACCACAGTGGAATGGCCTGATTGAATGAAAACCTAATAAAGGGGGACTGACTTTTTGGTTCTTTAGTTTTTTGTAAACAAGTTTGAAAAAATGGTATAAACATATTTTTACAATAGTAAATTTGTATAGAAATTTTGTCAATTTAAGAATAAAGTTTCGACAAATGAACAATAAAATGAGTAATTTCAAAAGAGTTTTCGAGATTTTTCCTTGAGGTATCAAAAATCCCTTCGAAAACTGCGCAAACTTAATGTTGCAATATCTCCCTAATTCGACCTAATTTTTCAAAACGGAGTATGCCATTCAATTCAACGGTTTAAAATTAAATTCACGTGTTTCGACGTTTTTCTGTTTCATTTCAAAAGTTAAAATTTTACTTACAGGGTAATTCTATTAAATGTACTTACTGTTAGAAGATTTCTGATTTCTTTGCTCGTCTGAATTATCTGCTTGATTAGTAATAAGTCCAAAAAAATCAAACACCATAAACCATTTCTCAATAGATATGATTAAATTTAGACAGTTAAAATCGATGGAACTTTTAGTTTCTTCTTCATTTTTTGTATCAATACTCCAAGTTGTAATAGATTTATATATTACTAAGTTTTCCGTTTTAATCTTCTGATTAATTTCAAGATCGATTTTTTTAAAACATTTCATATTAAAATTTTTATTTTTAATATTGTCTTTTCTTTTTTCGTTTAAATTTCTCGGCATAGACATACATTTATTGAGAATTTCAAAATCTTTAAAATTTGATAAGTCTGGACACGAATGAGAGATTTTATCTCTAGATAAATGATTATTATCATTATCTCTTAACGAATTTACCATATTTCTATATTTGGATTTTGTTGTACATTTTAAGTCTTCCATAACAACGGATCGTAGTAACACTTGAACTTCTTTTTGATGTGTGGTATCATTTTTATGAAATATAAATTCTTGTAACGTTATATGTATAAGAGAAATATTATGCTCATTTTTTAAATCTAGTTTGAAGATTGGCACTGAAAATTGTAGGCAAATTTTTTTAAAATCGTTAGTTTTTGAGTGCTCAGTTGCACATGCCTCTTCAGATGCTTCAATTTCTTTTTCTGTTTTAATAATTGATTCTTTTAAAAGCATAATATTAGTTGCGTATCCCATGGTTTCTATTACTTGTTCATATTGTGATCTTGATAAACATACATTTAAGCTTTGAGTAACACTTCCGTCAATCTGAAATGTAAAAATTAAAATTTATTAGTTTACATCTAATATTTAGGCCCTAATTTCGTAAATCCCTACATCTCATTTCTCCTACAAATTTTTATACCCTACACCATTATAGTGGGGAGGGTATTATACGTTTATGCTGATGTTTGTAATGCAGAAAAATATTGGTCCTATACCCACCATAAAGTATACCGATCGACTCAGAATTACTTTCTGAGTCGATCCGTCTGTCCGTCCGGCTGGCTGGTCGGCCATGCCCGACTATACTTTCCTACTTGTTAAATTTGTATTTTGCGTAAAAGCGTTAAAACAAGTGAACAAGTTTCGTTATTTAAAAAAAGTATAGAAAATCGTTTTTTATAAAACACATCACCCGAAAAATACACACTTGAAACTTCAAGTCAAATACGTAAATTATTCAGGCGTTTGCAATGAAAATTTATTAAAAAAAATCAATGTAAATGTACAAATTTCTGTACTGAAAATTTGTTTTATTAAAGCTACTCGATCTCGTACAAGAGAGGACGTAATTTGGTGTATATTTTTATTGATACTACAATGAAACGCGTTCCTATGGAAGAAAAAAACTTATATCCACAAAAGTGTTGTACCCAGAACATCTAGTAGAGTGGCGATTGGGCCACACACAGACAAATTTATCGGTAGATTTTTTTCATTTAGCTTGTTTTCCTTTTTGTTTAATTATACCCGACACCACATTAGTGGGGAGGGTAAATTGGGTTTGTGCTGATGTTTGTAACACATAAAAATATTCGTCCTATATCCACCTTAAAGGCAATCGGCTTAGAATCATTTTCTGAGCTATGTCCGCCCGTCCGTCTGGCTGGCTGTCCATGTAAACCTTGTGCGCAAGGTACAGGTCGCCATTTTCAATATAATTCGATGAAACTTGGTACACGCACTTTTTTTGCCCAAGGATGAAGCCTATTGAAAATGGTTAAAATCGGTCCATTATTTCACCTAGCCTCCATACAACAGAACACCCCGAAAAGTGCCTTTGAGATCATAATTATGTTAAATATACCTATATCTCGATGGAAAACAGCACAAATAAGTTTTATACAAGCATTTATGACCTTGCCTCATTTGCCCTAACTCCCATACGAAGTCCCCTTCAGAAAATGACTAGAATGTCCAAAATTCGCATATAAACACTAATATCGCGATGAAATCCGGCACAAATAAATCCTATATATGTACATATATATAAAACAGACTTTTTGTTTGTGTGTATGTTTGTTACGCTTTCACGGCAAAACTACTGAACCGATTTACATGAAATTTGGACCGCTAATAGGTCTAATCCCAAAAGGAACAATAGGCTATATAAGATCTTGATCGGATGCCACGCCCCTTTTTGCGCCAACTTTTTGTAAAACTGTTATTACACCAATTTTGCAATCACAATATACAAAAACTACTAAAGAGAAAGTCTGTTTGTTACGCTTTCACGGACAAACTACTGAACCGATTTACATGAAATTTAGAACACTAATAGTTCTATTCTAAAGTAGAACAATAGACTATATAAAATAATGATTTGAGGTCACGATTCTTCTTATGCTCACTTTTTTCTTTATAATTATTATACAAAATTTTCATTCGAGACTTATAGAAAACTACTGAACTGATAGGTCTGATCTCAAGATCAGGATCGGACGCCACGCCCCTTTTTACACCAACTTTTTGTAAAACAACTATTAAACCAAATTTACATTCAGGAATACAAAAAACTACTGATCCCATTTTCATGAAATCTGTTATAATGATTGTTGAAGAATGAACAGTACGACACATTACATCTTCAAAACCTATAATATATAATAATAAATATATGTGAAACTCACTACATAACTAATAAACTTATTTACATAAAATTTGGCATTTAATAGGTCTAACCTCAGCAGTTAACAAGTTAGAGTGCTATATTCGGCTATGCCGAATCTTAAATACCCTCCACCAGCAAGTTACTTTTTATTAACACCCATTTAACTATCTAATTTTTAGATAACTTGACTTCATATAAGAGCTACGACCAATTACGGGCCTCTCCAGAAAAATTTCGTAGAGTGATTCATATGTATGTACACAAAACATATTTGTGTCGAATTTTATCAAGATAGCTTTATTTAACAATGAAATATGTGAGTTCAAATGATTTTCGGAAGAGAGCCTTATATGGGAGCTATGACCAATAATGGACCGACCCGGGGAAAATTGTTAGAATGATTTATACGTATACAAAACATATTCAAGTTGAATTTTATACCGATATCTTTATTTATCAATGAAACATATGCGTTTAAATGATTTTCGGAAGTTTACCCTATGTGGGAGCTATGACCAATTATGGTCTTATCCGAAAAAATTTCGTAGAGTGATTGATATATAGACGAAACATATTTGTGTCGAATTTTATCAAGATACATTTATTTGACAATTAAATATGTGCGTTTAAGTGATTTCCGGAAGTGCTATGACTAATAATGGACCGATCCGAAAAGATATTTGGTAGAATGATTTGTATGTACACAAAACATATTCAGCTCGAATTATATCACAAAAAACTTTATTTGTCAATGAAATATGTGTGTTTAGGTAATTTTTGGAAGTGGGCCTTACATGGGAGCTATGACCAATTGTGGACCGTTGGTAGTATGATTTCTATTCATGTTATATTTGTATGTACAAAATTTTGTGTGATACCGATATATTTGAGGGAATTATTAACGATAAACTTATATCCGGGAATATAAACCTTTGTATGGGGGATATGGGAAATATTGGATCAATTGTTATGAGTTTGAACATACTTAATCCCTAGCACAAAAAAATAATGTGTGACAAAATTCATGGGAAAAAACGTAATTTTTTTCGAGGTAGTCTGAAATTTGTACTCATAACTTTTTACGTCGTGAACCGATTTTACTGATTTTCAATACCTAACCGGATAATAAGGAATGTTTTGGGTGAATTTCGTGAATTTTTATTGCTTCGTTTTAACGTGAACATGTTTTACACAGGCAGACAGACAGACGGACATAGCTAAATCGACTCAGAATTTTATAAGGATCAAGAATATATATAGTTTGTTGGGTCTCAGATGAATATTTCTTGGTGTTACACACGGATGGTGGTGGAGGGTATAAAAAACTCTATATGATATTGATTGGATGATACGCACATTTTTATGTTCACTTTTAGAATAACTGCTATAACACGAAATTTCTAGGCTAAATAAAAAAAACATGAACCGATTTTCAAGAAATTTGGCAACATACAGTGTTTGAAGAAGAGAATGTTTAATACACCAAATGCGAATAAATACACCTATAGCACTAATTTCGGGCCTGTTGTGATCTTAATGAAATGCAATGACCTTTTTCCGTCCACTTTTTGTTAGATTTATAATGCTAAAGATCATGATATATAATTCTCATAGTATATGAGAATTAATATTTAGTTAAATTTTTAATCAAAAATTTATTTTTATATGACTAACTTTACGGCAGGCGCGGATCCAGCACAAACGTTTGAGGGGGGAACTTTTTTTCGCACGGTATATATTATGGTAGTCACGAGTTTACTTGATTTTGATGACTATACGCAATTTTTGATATGAAAGTCGAGACTTTTTGACGATTTTGTATTAGTTTTCAGTTAACCCATTAGATCCCAACCATCTTAAAATCAATAAATTTAAATTTTTTGTTGCAAAATATATCTTTTTATGGGTTAATTTAAAATAAAATTTAAAACAAAAAATTTTTAAATTTTGGAAATGCGATTTTTGGGCTGTACTCGGATGGGTACAGCGGGACAATATGGGTATAAATACAAATAAATAAAAAAAATTTAAAAGCTATTTTTATTATTTTTTTATATTTTGGTACTTTCCTACATAAAAAACCGAATCAATTAGTATTAAGAATTTTTCCATTAGATTAATTGTGAAATGTATTGAAATTATCTGTGAACTACCGTATTCAGTGCACTTTTTCGACACTTTATTGATATTTGTTCTAAAATAAATTAATTAAAATTCATCATATGGGATGTATTATTCACTGACACTACTGTCATACACTTCCCATTCACCAAAAGTGTTGTCTGGTAGATCCTCCAGTAATTAACTATATTTATCAATTTCTTGGCAATATTTGGAAAAAGAATGGAAAAATCTAAATGTGAACTGATTTTATTATAAAGATAATCAGTAGCACCTACAAGCCTTCTAAAATATTTACCAAAAAGGACATAAACATCCCTAATAGATAATTAAGATATATGAAAAAATAGGCATGGGTATTCCCATTGTACCCAAGCGAGTACACCAATATTTAAGCTTATAAAAATTAACTTAAAAACTAATTTTTAATTATTTTTTTACTAAATCCTAATGGGCTGATCTGTTTACTTTATTTTTCTGTAAAATTTTAATCCATTAAACTCAAAATGAATGAGTTTGACATCAAATTGCAATGAAAGAGGCGAAAAATTGAAAAACTCTGTTGACAAAAAATTATTTAAAATTTACCGTTATATTTTTATGACTTTATAATTCGGTACATTTACTCTTTAGATCCTAAAGTAATGTTCCAAAAATCAAATTTTACAAAAAACTCAGTAATATGGATAATCTAGCATTATAAAACCGGTTGTATTTTTGTACCCAAGCTAGTACAGTGGGAACGAATGGGTTAAAGGCAGGTAAACAGATGCAAGGTATATATAAGCCTCGATCTAGCATCAGCATCGTTGCATCCGAAGTGCATAATGCTGTTGAGAGGATTAAATATAAGTTCTTGTAACGTAAGATACATGTTCTCGGGCGAGACTCTGTATCAGCGTAGAAAAGTTGGAAATTTACCAGATTTAATCCAGAAACCTTGTTGCGAATCGGCTATATGTATCTTACCAATGTTAATTTTAGATTTCAGAGCGTTGGTAGCCGTCTCGCTCCGATGGAGGTTTATTTGGAT